GCTCATTTCCCAACCTTGTCTAGGTTTAGAAAACTTTGGTAATGTGGTGCGAAGCGTGTTAGTTTTGGTGACCGTAAGGCCAACAGGAAGTGGTGATGAAGTCTGGGGAAGGGACTCTCTTCTTCTGGACTGACTTTTTTTTTCATTTGCATTTGTTTAATATCTGGCCTCAAATCTTCTGTCTGTCACAGAACAGTTGTCTATTCTCCATCAGAAAGATCAGACTGTTCAATTCTAAGGAAGCGAACACTACTCGCTCAGCTTTTAATTCGGTTTACAGTGCCTTCTCTTCCTCTGTCTCTGAACACACATTAGACATCATCTATCTGCACTGTGCTCACAGAGATTAGTAACATGACACAAAATTCATGACCATAAGTGAATAGATCACCTTGGCAGCGACCCCCTTGACCCGGCAGTGTTGTGTGTGTGTGTGTGTCTGTGTAGATAGGCTGCGGCAGATGGTGCTTGATTGTGATCACAATGATGATGATGTCATGCATTAAGAAGAGGATTAATTTAATTCATTTGTCCTCCAGGCCACTTCGGTCAGTGTGAGAGGGAGAAAAGAGCCCCTCTGGGTAGTTTAGTCAGAGCTGCCGTGAGGAGATGCAAAATGCTGACTCTGCAGTAATGTCATAGGAAGTGTGCCTGTGAAGCAGCTCCAGGCAAAGAGGCTGGGTCTGAGGATACAGCCCTTTTCCTGCACGGCTGAAACGCTGCACGACAGTGGAATTCCCCCTCTTGCTGTGAATATTTTTTGGAGGGTTAGAAGGCTCACACAAAAGGCGAACCGGTGCTCACTGAAAAGTCACACCAGAGTGGAGATGTGTGAAATTGATTGCAGAGACCTGTGTGTGTGTGTGCATTTATTAAGCTGCCTGTCTGCCCCCCTCCTCATCCCGCTTTCCCCATCAGACTGCTCTCTGCAGATTGAAGAGGTCTGCTGTTTAGGTTTGTGTTTGTGTGAGAGCGAGTTGGAGACCTTGGGTCAGTGGAAACTGTGACATCCGTGTCATTGTATGTAACGCTTTGGCTAATCAGACTGATTGGACTGAATGTTATGTGAAGGTCAGACAGAGGCTTCAGTCTTCAGTCTTCCACAAGTGGCTATAATAACATGGTGGCAGCGTTTTTATTCATTGTACATTTATAGGAAGTGATGTGCACCAATGGATGTTAGTCAAACTGCTACTTCGAAAAGCCACTAGAGCCTGATTGATACGTTGTCCATATCAGCTTGTTGCAGATATATCAGTACTGATCAATAAATGACTGGAAACAGAGGTACAGAAAAGCCAAATATGATCTGAAACAGTATCACCATTCTAAACCTTGTCCACCAGAGAGTAGTGCCAAGTTTGTTTTCAGCTATAAATGTCCTGTTCATACAGTATTTGGTTGCAATTATTAGAAAACTAACTTTGTCTGGTCTATGTTTGTTTATGTTATGGGTTGTGTAATTCATATATCATGGTGTCTGCCTCAAAACTCTTGTATTGTTTGGGCAAACAGATTTAGTTTGCACACTGACTCTTTTCAGTGTAGCTATGGTATTTGTGTCACTTTTCATGTGTCACATTTCACCTTTCCACCTAAACCTGCCTCACATGTGTGTGCTTCCCAGAATGACCGTATCATCATGATTTTCAGAGCCTGTTTGTGAAAGTTGAGCTGGTGCCTCAGACTGTGATACTACGAGGTTAACTTAAATGAAAGCATATCTGATTAGAACCAGTTGAGGAAGTGTCCCAGTGTTTGCAGGTGGTGCTGACAAAGAGCTTCAAATATTAAAGCGGTTACAGGACACGATACTAGAGAAGAACACATTGCTGCCATCTGACTGTGTTGATGCAGCATATGCACCAAAAGCTTTAGTCACAAATTGAACAGATTGCTATAAATCTCTCGTCCATTTGGCTTGTCTTCCTCTATGAAAACACACTACTGCCAGGGAGCCCAGCTGAGCTGGTCCGAGTTCTAGTCTGACCGATACATTGGCCGATTTTATCAGCCGATGGAAGATGATTGCTGATAAACTGGTGTCATTGTTTCTTACAGTCGCTAAGTGACAAGAAGTGAAAGTCATGGAACGATGGGTGCTTCAGCTGTTTTATGACCAGAACTACATCGTTGTTTAAGATGCCATGTTTTTAAATGGCAACATAAATAGTGATTGTTATTGATATTGGTTTTTTACTAATGTTACTACTCAGTTATTTACTGTAAAGGATTCCTACCATCAGTCATTGTTTATGTTATGTATTACAGCATTACTTTAATAGCTTACATCTTGATACATTGTTGCAGGTCTCTTTGAATTTAACACTCTCAGTGTGGCGTCTGAATGTACGTGCACATCACTGTTACATCCTCGGACTCACCCTCGTTCGACCTCACATCCACCACTGCACATTCACAGCATCAAATAATCGATATGTAAATGGCCATTAGGTTATTATATGGGCTTGTTTTAGTAGTTGATGTAGTTCTTTGTTTGAGAATAGTCAGGAGATTTACATCGGGTCAACTTGTGAGTGTATGACCCTGAGCTTTTTGCCTGAAACTCATATCACAGCAGAAACACTCTCAGTACTCAGAGCTGAGAGTAGAGCAGAGCCCAGGTAATATCAGCTCTGCCAGAACGACACTCTCTGAGTTGGCGCTCTTTAAAAAGTCTTTGTGCGGTTGGATTGGTTTGTCAGTGTAGACAGAGAAAGTAGTCAGTGATGCTTTGTAGAACAGCTGGTCTTTTCTCAGTCTTTGTGTCTGCGTTTATCTTAAAAACACCTGTGTGCAGACACGCGTGTCTTTGTGGAGTTGGAGAGTCTCAGCCAGACACTGCTAATGGGATAATGGCAAACGTAGCAGATGAGTCATTTAACAGGAGATGAAGGAACAAAAACCACAGCACTGAGAGTCCTACTTTTACTCAGAGGAGCAAGTGCCTTGTGGTCGGCTTCTTTTAATTTGCACAGTTCTCCATGTAAAGGTTTTATTTTTAGTATGTGTTACTTTTGCCAAAAAAAACACCGTCTGGAAGTATTATTTGTGTGAGCACTTTTGTTTTTTAAAGAAACAGTTATCATGCTTTTTTTTTTTCTTGTAATCTAGCTTGGACAAATTTTAGTTATTTTAAATTTTATAATAACTTCTCACATCTTTATTCAGGCATTATTATTGTACAAAACCATATAAGGTCAGCGTGGCCTAGGGTAAGAGATTTTCATTCCACAGTATATTGTGAGCTGGTATACGGCTGTAGCCCTAGTGTGGCCTCATACGCAGCATCAGAGGCTGACAGTGTGCTTATACACATCTTGTTTTTAAAAATAAATCTCAATGGGTGGACATGGCCTTAACTTAAAAAGGCAGTTCTTTTATTAGGCCTGGATAATTTAGATTTCTCCCCCATTAGCTTTTCTTCATGGAGCCTGGGCAGTCGCTGTGACTGTACCCCAATAGGCTGACTGGGTGTCCCCCTTCACACTTCACAGGTGGCCCCCAGGAGCCACTACCGAGTGAAAGAGCACATTGTTGCTGCTTTCGTCTTTCCTCTGAGCTCTGTCTTCTTCTTTTATTCTGCTCGACCAGTGATGTGTAATTCATCTGACATTATCCTTTCAGAGTAACTACTGTTTTCTCACTCTCTGCTCCGTGTGTGTGTGTTTGTGAGAGAGAGAGAGAAATACTACCCTGAGGAAAGCTAAGTAATGAGCGGTTCTTTCATTTTCCAGTAGAAAACCACTCTTTGCTTGCATATTAATACAGCACTGTTTATTCATTTAATAGGTTAAGTCATCACATCTAGTGGAGTGAGAGTGTGTGTATGTGTGTGTACAGTGTTGGTGTGTCTGTTGCAGCTGAATGGAAGGTATTGTGTGTTTTGGTTTTCAGGACGTTCGGGGGATTCATACGGGGCGGTGAAAAGCGGTGCCAGCTTTGCCCCCGGTTGGGCGGATGTACTTAATAAAGACCCTAACAACTCATTCCCAAAAATCCCCCTCACCCCAACAGACTCCATCGCTCATCACTGGTACAGTGGTGCATTGTCTCTGCTCTTTCACTGTTTGTTCTGCTGTGCGAGTCTGAGTTGACACATGTGAACCTTTGTATGGCTTATTCATTGGTTTGTGAGTGTGTGCACAACTTGGGAATAATGTCCTGCATGTTAAGAAACCTAGAATGCTAACTGCGCTTATCCTGCAAGCTACCATACTGATAGAAATGCAAACAAACTGATGAAGCAGCTCTGGGCTATTCTTAGCTTTTACTTGAATAATGCATTACTTGCAGTGGAGATGGCACAGAGAAGCACACAGAAACTGTGCCCATCACATGCAGGCATTTATTCAGAGTGTAGACAAAATAACAGGAACACCAAATAATATGATTCAGTCCAGTAGCAACAGAAAGTATGAGGTGAATCGACATCTCTCTGAGAGATTGTGAACCGTTTGCTAAAGGAATGATAAGGTATGACTGCAGCTCTGCTGAATCACAATGATGGAAAGGAACAGGAAGCTCAGCACTGGGGGCGGAGCCCTCTGAGTCCCGAGCAGATGCAATAGCAGACAAGTAACGCAGCCCTTCTGCAGGATAAACAATGACTCATTTCCACCATGACCTAAAAAAAAATCAGTGCAAATAAAACCCAAACTAATAAGACGTCACCTCACTCCATAAAAATCTTTTTATTTGTGTCAGCGTGATATTTAGCAGCAGGCTGCTCCACAGTACTACCCCAATATAAAAAGCTGGAGGCACTAAACATGAACACACGCCGCCCCTTGTCTTATGTAGCCCTG